AGCCCTTTGCACAAACAGGACAGAAAACACATTAGAGGCATCCTTCCCTCTCCAAAGATGTATAGTGTAGTGGGGGGGGGGGGGGGGGGGCTGAGCAGCTGTTGCATGTCTGACAAACAGTCGAAGCTGGACTGAGCTGGAGCTCTCTCACAGCTACAGTCAGTGACACACTGAAGCCAGCCTGGCTGCTCCCACCATGCGTCTTTTATTCCGCTCCAGCGCAGATGAAACGTAGACGGCGCCCCAGAACGGCTCCCTCCCCCTTCTTCCTTCCCTGACTCCCTCCACATTCCCTCTGCTCCTCCGCTTTCAACCGTGCAGCAGCCAAGCTGCGATGGGACAGAGAGATGCAATCTCCATAAGGGAAGTCTATTTCCAGTGGTGTTTACAAACCATGTCCCCTTTATCCAGCATGCAAGTCACTGCAAAGGCATCCATCACAGAGAACCACAAAGCAGAACACAAACATATTATGTCATTAAAACACATTGTCAAAACATTGTGAAATAAAAAGGGGGAAATAATGGTTTCTGTCTCTATACTCTCGTTTGTTCGTACTCCTTCGTGCACCTACTCTCTCCCCCTCTCCCTTCTTCCACCGGCCCAGGAATCGATCTCCGCAGGATCGATAAGTTGGCATGAATATTCCCTGCCTGCCGAGAGTCTAGTTGGGGAGAGACGGAGGCTGAGGCTCAGGCGCAGGCAGTGGAGGAGAGGGGAAGGATGGGGGACGGAGACAGGAGAGAAATACACTCAGAGAAACGGGAAATAGTCGGCGTGGAAATTAAGCAACACACGGAAGGAACAGTGGCGCATCGCTACACAGAATGGACTGCAAAAACGGACATTTTACGCAATTAATTTTCAATGAGTCTGGACGCTCTGGTGCGCTCGGGAAAGCTTCTTTGATTCTGAAGTTTAAAGGACTGTGTTTAAGCCTTCAAAGGGAGCCGGAGGAGTGTGTGTGTAAGTGGGTGTGTGCACCGTCAGCTCTCCCCTCTGCTAGTGCATCGGCACCGAGCGAGGCGGGGCGGGTCTGCATGGCTGAGTCTGACCGACATGGAGGATGTGTAGCGGGGGAGAAGAAGAGAAAAAATGTCTTACCGGAGTTGGAGCGGAGAGCCTGAGGAGACTTGAGGCGCCAGGCGGCCAGGTCAGCAGCACTTCTCTGAAACACGAACGGCACCGGCAAGGGGACAAACATGATCTTCCTTCTTGTTTTGATGCAAATAATCTGACAGAAGTACCAGCTCTGTCCTCTTCTGGAGCTCTGTTGTCTTCGTCCGTTTCTCTGGTGCACAGCTTTGGGGATATTTTTGGTATGGAGAGCTCACAACATTTGCCGTTAGGTGTGTACACATGTAGCCCAGCTGCGCCCTTTTATTTACATGTGTGGATGTCGACTGGTGGCCGGCATTAGTTTTGGTGTAAATGTGCATAGAACATATGTGTAGGATGGTCCCCTTGAGTGCAGCAGTTTAGCTTCACAGTCCAGACTGACACACAGACGGATCGAGCGGAGATCGCTTGTACAGGAAAAGTTGTGTTACAATTACAGGCCTATTGTAGCGGCTTTAGAATAAAAGGCTGTGAGTCGTGGATGCACCTGCGTCTCTGTTACCTTTAAAACCTTCTCCTTGAGTAAACATTGAGAGCTTATTTGATCCTCTCACTCCTCACTAATGTTTCTATAGGTGTGAAAAGGCATGGGAACAGTCGCTAGCCTCCTGTAGCTCACACCGGCCGGGCTTAGCTTTGGTATTTTGAAATTTAAAAACGGCACAATAAATAATGACACATAGGCTACAAACAAGACAGTGTAAAAGGCCAGCAGAGTTAGAAAGTCTTATTTGGATTTCTGTAGTATTTGGTTTGATCTATTGTATTTGGTCTCTAGCTCCTTTCTCTTTTTGCATGAAGGCTATAGAAGACATTCAGCCGCTGCAAAAGCAAAGCAGCAGATCGCGTCGCGAGCACATTCAAAACAGCCTCATTAAAGGCTATCATCAACAAATAAAATAAATACAAACAAGTGTGGCGAAAAATGGCTAAACACACACACACACTGAAACACAACGCACGCTTGGCCCTGACGCTCCTCCTCCCTCGCTGGCTGTCACAAGGCAGTAATTAAAACGTAATCAATCGATAGATAAATAAATAAATACGAGCGGTTAAATAAATAACTAAAAATGCTCAAAATAACAACGGAAATAAGATACTAATACTCCGGTTATGGTGTCGCGTTTTATCGGAACACTTGCCTATCTCCGTCCATCCGTCTGTGTGTCTGTTTGTCTGTCTGTCTGTCCCCGGTATTATTGTGGGAACCCCAATATCTCATTCGACCCGGCTCCCTCCAGGATTGTAGCGATCTGGCCGCAACATTGAGGCGAGAGAGGACCCGCTACTACTCACACATCACCACCCCACCCCCGCACCTCCCTCCCTCCATCCCCATCTCCCTCCCTCCCACCTACCTCCTCCCACCCCCCATCTTCCTCGTTTTCACTACCGCTGCAAAAGGTATCCTGTATTGATTTCTGGATTCCCCCCCCCCCCCTCTCTTAATAATACCGGCTATAATGATGCCAATGGTGATCAGTGCATTACTATAGCGGCCTGCCTCGGAGGGATAAGGACCAGATAAGAGAATCCATGGATACCTATAGGTGCTTAACACTAATACCTAGTGGAGTACACCCATGCACACAATTAAGTTATCTCATCACTGCTGCTTTTAATAAGACCTCCTGAGCACCATTATGTTATTCAGATGGAGGAAGACAAGAGCGACCACTGCTGTTCTGGGAAATATGAAGCTGTGTCTGTGTTTATTATCTTAAACATATTTTTAGACAAATGATGAATTAGATATTTTAGGGTTAGAGTAGTTGAGTTTTTAGGGTTTTTGGTTAGTGTGGGGAATGTGTTTGGGTTGTCTCTGAATTCTATATGTATTAATGATATGTAATGTTTATTGTTCTCATAGCTCATCGAGGTGTCCTATTTCACATGTCTCCATTATGACTTGTGATTGTACTATATCTTGTTTTAAAAACGTGTGAATAAATGATGATGATGATGATGATGATGATGATGATGATGAAGAAGCTGTTTGCAGCATGAAAGTACATGTTGGTGAAGTAAAACTGAGTGAGGTTAATGACCAACGTGCATGGACTTGTTATGTTTGCATGTAAATAAAAACACAAATACACAAGGTGTCAGGGGATGAGCCCCTCCATGATTGAGGTGATCACGTCCTCCTTCGCCTCCCCCCCCCCCCCCCCCAGCTCCTGGATCTTGTTTCCTCCGTCCCGGGCAGCATGCCGGCCTCTCCCAGCATGCCTCTCTTCTCCTCGCCTCCTGCCCTCTCCCTCCACATGTTACACGCTGTCAATTACAGACCAGCATCCGTCAACGCCTGCCGCTTACACACCAGATTATTGTCGATATAGATTTTTAAATAGAAAAATCTATACCTTAAACATCGCAGTCAATACGAGCAAATCAATAGGAATGAGTGAGCTCTTGCTCCCGAAAGCCCCGTCCCACAGGACTGTTTATACCTCACCACTTATTGCTGCGTGTGATTAGGCCCTGTTTGAATGGAAATTGCACATAAAATAAATGATTTTGCCATCATCACCGGACTTGTCATTTTCTCTGTCATCTATATGGAAAGCCATATTGTCAAGAAATGTGTGCTGCACAACAAAGTGGCATATTCTTAATTATGAAAAATGTGTCATCCTCTGTAGTAGACAACCAGGTTTTATTGTCCTTCTCTCTCCGCTTCACGTATGACAGATGACATCCGCAGGTCCAATGAGGGAGAGGAGGGGAAGGAGCAAGAGGAGGACAGAGAAGAGAGGAGAGAAGGAGGAGAGAAGGAGGAGAGAGATGGAGAGTGAAGACAGGATGAAGGAGAGGAAGACAACTAACAGAGAGGATAGTAAGGTGAAGCAAATGAGGGAGAATGAGAGGAAGGGAGATGAGGAGAGAAGAGGAGAAAGAAGGAGAGGAGGGAGAAGTGACTAGTTGTCCTTCAAAGACCCCCTTCTCTCCACAGAGGGAGCCATGCGCGCCCCCTTTCCCTCCTCCCTGCACTCCTTCCAGACAAAAGCAATTATTTCTTGTAGAATGTAGTGTGGTTGTGCGCGTCTGTGGAAGAGAGGGATGGAGGGAGGGTGTGTGAGATTGAAAGAGGGGAAAATAAGATGGTGTTGGAGGGGTAGAGGAGGACGGGGAGGAGGAGGGATGCTAACACCTACAGCATCCACCCCTTCGTCCTTCCACGCACTCTTCTGACCAAACTCCTCTTTTTCTTCCGTCTGACACGACCGCAGAGACAACATAACAGGAAAACTATAAACTCAGTATTCACACGCACAAAAACAGAAATCCACCATCAAAGCGGCTGCATTCCAGATGAATTCACAGACGATGTGTGGACGTCATTATCCAACATCTTCAAACTTTTTAAGGGAGAAACAAAGTCTCTATTGACCTTTCTTTGACTGCCTTTCTCTGTGAAATACACACATTCAAACCATTCAAACACACAATAGCGGTGATACCTGCAGATTATCACATTACATGTCACTTTTATCCAAAGCGACTTACACACTCAGTACTGTGGTCAATCCCCACAGGAGCAATTAGGGGTGAAGCGTCTTGCCCAGGGACACAACGACATGCTGACTGCAGTGGGGTTTGAACCTGTGACCCCCTGATCCCCAACACCAACGCACAACCCACTGCGTTACACACGTCCTCAAGAGATGACACCCATCTCTGGTTGTCCATCTGTCTGTTTCTACCACCGACCACCTCAATTCAGTGGACTACCCCCCTTGGTGTGTTTCATGCTTGGTGCCTATAGGGGCCCTGCAGCGAATCGGCCCCTACAGTTTCACTCCCCAGGGACCCCCGAGAGACCCATGGGCCCAAGAAGGGAGAGAAAGAGGGAGAGACAGCTCCCCTGGGGGGCCGCTCCAGCCAATAACCCCTGCTGGACGCTCTCATCGAGGGCCCTCACGGTCCTGATTGCCCACCTCCCTCCTATCAAGCCTCCCAATCCATACAGAGATATATAGCTGGTCCCATTGTTTTCCACGCTGTATCTTACCCCTGCTGTATTGAAAAATGCTCGTCCAAAATGGTCTCTTTCTCTCGTTCACCGCTATATTTTAAGATACTGTAATGGATGGAATGTGGAATGTAATATATACAGTAGGATGCCAGCAGTAAAGTCCAGTGATTATGGATGATTATTAGTTAATGGTGCAAAATGTCAGCACAGACATATAATACAAAAATAACTGTATTTCTACAGGAGTGCCTGTTTGTGTATTTTATTAAGACACTGCTTTAACATTTAGAATTTTAGCACTTTCGTTGTCTTTACTATGCTTTTCCAATTTACTATTTTAAATAAAAAGTATATCATGTTTTAATGTCACACTATTAATATATCTTCTGCAACAGTTATTAGCTACTGTTAGGTTAGGACCTATTCAAATTTGCTCATTTTTTATTTGCTCAGTCTTTTGTGAATATTTAGAAAATAGTGTAAATTAACTGATATTTTATTATAATTCATCTACCCGACAATTATCATATGAAATGTAACCGCTAAATAAAAGATAATAAAAGATGGCAATATTTCTTTGCATAGGTAGTAAAAGGGAACAATTACCAACACCTCATTTAATACATTTTATATTACTTACTGAATTGTCTGTGTAGGTAGATACAATTACACAGGCAGAATATTAATGTAAAGCTTCAATTTAAAGTCATTAGACTGTTTGTAAACAAATACATTATTTGCTGGTGATGGTTTGGTTACCTGTTTTTCCTCTCTAGTTAGAAACACATTTATTCATAGTAAGCAATTTGTTCAATTCTCCTCCACAACATGTTTTCCATGTCATGTGCTGTAGGTCAGGATGTGGTATGAAATATTTATCCAATCAGAAAGAGGCCAGAAGTATCCTTAGGCTATACATTAGTCATAGCAAGGACAATGCATTAGTAATATAGCTTAATGCACTCCTGGTAATTGCCTGTTATTGTCTTTGATTGATTGATTTGAATGGTTAAAAACACATTGTTTAAATATTGAACACAATTATTTGTTTGTAATTGATGCAGAACAAGCTGCAGGGTCGGAAGTATTATTCTGCCTCTGTGAGATGGTTGCATGGGTGTGGAAATGGTTGTTTTTTCTGTGTGTGTGCTATGTGGTGTGTGTGTGTGTGACCCGGCGCATCCGCGGGTGTTCGCATCCATGTCATGGTCGTAGTTAAATGGTGATGTCATGTTGACAAACGAGCTGGTTGAATTAAATTCTCACTCATCAATAACGCCGTCGGTCTGGAATCAATAGCAACCAACAGTTGCGTTACTGCCTCTGTCAGCGGCCTAACAAGGCCCCATTAGAATGGACAACGCTCTCTCACTGTCGCCCCGTCCCGACTCTAACCAGCGCCAACGCACTCTCTTCATATCCTCCCTACACACACACACACACACACACACACACACACACACACACACACACATACACACACCAATAACACGGCAAAATGCAATATTCACATAAAGCCATGCTCTGACATGATGTATAGATTTGTCAAGATAATATGGATATGATGCATGGGATGTTATGAGGTTTGTTTGTTGGTGTCTTTGCCAGTTTGTTTGTTTTGTGTGTGTGTGTGTGTGTGTGTGTGTGTGTGTGGGTGTGTGTGGGTATTGTTTGTGAATCTTGCTCAGTGCCAATGGCGAGGTTGTGCAGGCTTTGGTTCCCAACCACAGAGTTCAAATCCAACCCAGATTCAATCAATCCAAGAAGGCACACATGCAGGGGAGGAAACAGTGAGTGTGTTTCAATGCCAACTCACAGTCACACACACAAAAAAAGTCCCACAAGCTCAGCGAGGGTGATAAAACTTACATTTAGATACACGCTCACATACACAGATACGCATGTTTAGACAGAAATGCAACAAGAAGCACCAACTGAACAGCACTATCTCCTTTCTTTCACTACCTCCACCTCCCTCCCTTTAGCAGCTGATCCAGCTAAAGCCCTTGTTCTTTCTGTATTCCTTGTCTTTTTTATTAGTTTTTATTAACTTTGCCTCCCTCTCTCTGTCAGCACTCTCAATAATCAATGCTGATATATTGCCAATATCCAGCTCAGTCCCTCGTGCCATCTTTCACCAAGCCTCCGTTATTGGGGGAGATTGGCCCAATAATAATGATATTTATTGTAGATATTTATTATCTGGGTTTTGCTGCTGAAGACCTACATGCCGGCAAACTCGGGGCCGCACAGTAACATAAATGCACACACATATACACACACACATACACCCACACAATCTCTCCGGGGCTCTTTAATTTACACTGGTAATATCAGGCAATTATTCCCCATACAGATAGTGTATAGGGTTATCAGCTCACAGTGGCCGTAACAGTATTCAC